AGCTTACAAAACCTCTATAATACCTCTTGGTTTCCAATCTCGTGATATAGGTTGTTGGTAAAATGTTCCTGGATCGGCGGGATTGACCATTGGCGATTATGACGAGGTGGCGACGGACAGAATGGCAGTATGGATCTGATGATGTCCACCCGGAGGACTGTGTCCAAGCTTTTTTTATACACATCCTGGAGAGGGAACTATCAGGGAAAATTCTGATGCAATCCCGTCTAAGTTCAATTTGTGTCCGGGTTTTGTTTGTTAATTGCCAGAAATTGAAACATTTCTGTTGATTTATTACCTCTTTCCATCCATTATGATTACTCATTCTACCTTGTAAATTTGATAACAGCTGTCAAACCTGAATTAATTACTGGTGTGACTAAGGTCAGAGTTTGTCTTGCAACCTTAGTAATAATTGTTACTTTGTATGATCAGATGATCAGCTTTATTGGGTTCACAATCATATGAAGTAGGAAGTGTCTTGGTTGGTTCAGTTCAGACTCCACTTTTAGGTGACCTTTTTCTTACTCTCGATTGTGTAATGAGTTTAGGTTGTTGTTAATTGGCTAGCTACTTTGTAAATTGTAACGAAGGTGGAAATGAATAATTCTCAGTAGTGAGGGGAGAACCTTATCTGTCATCTGAAACGTCTTTGAAAGTTTAAAAGGTCACTTCTTGAAGGGTCGAAAGGTCTAATTACGATCTCCCAGGAAGGGAAACGAGAGGAAGAAGGGAAATAATGATTGAAAAAATATATTGAAGCTTTAAAATTCACAAAAGAGCTTAAATCCTCACACATATAACATTAATAATTTTATGAAAATAATAGCAAAAAACTTTAATAGCAAAACAAAGATATTTTTTTAAAAAGATTTTGAAATGTAAAGATGTTCTTCTGGCATTACAAATTATATTGTCAGTGTTAATTATTTTTCATTTACATGCTTTTAAGTTGTAAGAATAGAGTTGCTTTTATGATAGTTTTTCATGTTTAGTTTTTGTGCAGCAAAATTTGTTTCATCTTTTTTATTTTTTGGTACTTCAAGTTTATATCTGTACACACTTAAAACTTACATTTTAAGTTAATAGTTCAAAGCTGCTAAATATTGAATGGATATGAAGAAACAGGTAATTTCATGTGATTAACACAATTCCTAAACTGATATAGGCAGAAATTGAATTATTGATGTGGAAAACTAATGTGAGGTAGCAGGGGGCCACTGGGTTGATCTCTAACGACCACTTACTCTGCACGGGTTGGTAAAATCCACTCTCGGTTTGTTGGATGGCTTAGAAGGACAAATCGAGTGGGGTGAGGTCGTGACGAGTTGTCCCAATAACTACACAGGTTGAATAATAACAACACGTTTAATAAACAACTAAGAGATTATACATATCAAAGAAAAAGCATAAACAACACACGCATAAGTAATAAAAGGAATTTATTTCTATATCTATGTTCTAATCTAAACTAAAGATCGAGAGAGATCTCTCTAAGAGGGATGTGTTGGAGAGATAAACCCTTGCCTGAATGTTGTCTATCTCGTAGGATTCGATCTCTTCTTATAGGGCATTGGTAGGACGCACTGGGATCAGTGGTTTCTAATCGAAGTTCCCTTAGATGGCGATATGGAGTGATGGACGGTATGGAACTGACTCTAGAGGTCCTCTTCTGCTGTCTGCTGAGGGTGTTGCTTCAGCGGGGTCCTCTTTGGCTTTCCACCTGGAGGTGCAAATTTGACCTTTTTTTATACGTATTGCGGAGGGGGAATCATGGGGAAAGAAAATCTGATGCAATCGCCAGCTCGACTTGCGTATAGCTTTGTTTGTTATCGTCATCCTTCATCCTTTCCAATAATTGACATTTTCCCATCATAAATTTGTCAAACTCCCTGATTTATTGACGTGAGGTGACTCATGTCAGACTATGTCTCACCCCCTTAGAAAAATCATTGCCTTATTTGGTCATTTAGATTGACTTTCTCATCAGTTTGCTCGGACTTAGAGGGGAGTATGGGATTTTGTTTTACCCTCGTCAGTGACCTTTTGGTTACTCTCTATACTCTTATATCTACATGAGACTTGAGCAATCCCCTGGTGTGAAGGGAATCCTTCTCCAGACGATTAAAGTTGCCTTCGATGTGACGCAGTATACTGAGGGGTCAAAAAGGTCTCCTCTTTACTTCACGAGAGGGGAAAAGAAACAAGAAATAATGATAAAAATAAACTATACTAACGTGTTAAAATTCACACTTAAGTCCAAATTTTCACACTAATTACTTTTACAGTTTGTTACAGCATAATACTTTTGACTCAATACATGTTCCATGTATCCTTTGAATGTGTTTGTAAGGTTATAAAGATAATGGAGAAGTTCAGCATTATCCAAAATCTTTGTGCATTGTGGCTGGTTAGAACAATGTCTTGAGATGACAGCATCATCTGGTATGAAGTCTCTTACTAATCATCAAGCTTCCACTCATGTTATCTGGGAGAGCTCTGGCATTAAAACATCCTTGTTAACTATCCATCATTGATTCATTGAGGTTAGATTTAAAGAATGCATTGCACATAGTGCCATTTATTTTGAAAATAAACATTGTGAAAATGCTAGCATTTGCAAGGGAACATTTAAACAAACCTCCTGAGTTTTGGAGTACAGTTTGTCACTCCAAAACTTAAGTTGAGCTTGCAGGCTCAAAACGGCACCAAACTGTGTGGTGAAAGAACACCCCCACAAACCTGCAAACTCTGTTGGGACTATGAAGCATTGCCAAGTCATGATGGTATGGGGATGTTTCTCATGTCGTGGACTTGGCCAGCTGACAGAAATCACTGGTTGCATAGATGCAAAAATGTACAAGGCAATATTAGAAAACAATCTTTGTTCTTCAGTGGGCATTAACAGTGATTGTTTCAACAAGATAACAGCATGGAGCATTCATCCAAGCTTGGCAAGCATTTTTTCCAACTGGCTTCTAAGAGGTTTTAAATGATAACCTGACTACTCCAAAGAACAAATATAAATTCTATTGAACATCTTTGGGATGAGCTGGACCAAAGAATTTTAAAATTGAAGAGAAAATGCCTGCAAGTCTGTTGGATGGTCTTATTCATGTTATTTGATGAATGGAGGAAAATCAACATTTAAGTTCTCAAAAACTGGTGGATTTGGCATCATGGCATTTATAAGCGTCTCTTAGAAATCAAAGATGACCCAATCTGGTAATAATCTCTTGATTTTTCAAATGTAGATGGAATAATTGTGGTATTATTCAGAATGACTATTTTGGGAATAATTGGAATATCAGGTCAGTCCATAAGTTCATGCGTATTTTATGACCTTGAGAAAAATCATGTTTTGCTGTTAAAGTTGTCAGTCTAATGTGATACTTTTTACACTGAAGTGTTAAATTGGATTTCATTCATATAATACTGTTCAGAATTGGGAAAAATTCAGTTGTTTATTTTTGTTAAAATGGAAGTAACAGATTAATATAAGAGACATGTTTTATACTTTTTATTTTTAAGTGGTGAGAATGCTACAAATGCAGCCAAAAAATTAAATACTGTTCATAATCAAACTGTAATTAGTGTAAGGACTGCGCAGAAGTGGTTTGAAAGATTTAGAAATAATGATTTTAGTGTGGAGGATAAGGCTCGTACTGGAAGACCTGTTGACTTTGATGATGATGCTCTCTCTGCACTAGTTGAAGCAGAACCATCTTTAACAGTTGATGAAATTGCGGAACGTTTAAATTCATCCCATGGAACTGTTCATAGACATCTACAACAAATCGGAAAAGTTTCAAAGCTAGGAAAATGGATACCACATGAACTGTCAATAGCTAACTGACAACAACGTCAACTGCTCAACTCAAAAGCTTCAACTGGGAAATTTTACCTCATCCACCATATTTGCCAGATATTGCTCCCAGTGATTATCATCTTTTTCGGAGTTTGCAGAATTTTTTAAAAGGGAAAACTTTTGAGGATGAGAACAATGTAAAAAAGGCTATTTCTGAATATTTTGATTCAAAACCGAAATAATTTTATGATGACGGGGTTAAAAAGCTACCATCAAGATGGCAAGAAATTGTACAAAATAATGGTGACTGCATTATAGATTGAAATAAAATTTAATTAAAATTTTTTGTTGTTTTTTTTTTGTAGATAAAAATACACATGAACTTATGGACTGACCTGATATATCAAAAAACCATTTATAAAGCAAAAAGTGTAAACTTAACAAAGGCCACATAAAGCTTATGGGACTTGCATAGATTCATAATCCAATTTTAACTAAGTTTAGTTTGTGTGCAAACACAGCATATTTCTACATTTTGCATTCCAACTACTAATTTCTGATTGTCACTGTAAATATAAAATTAGAATAAGAGATAATTTAAATAATTCAGTTGGTTGTGATTTTAATGCTGTAGAATGATTTTTTTCTTTATAATAGAATTACTGGCTTAAAAGAAATTTTGGCTGTATACAAAAATGTGAATGAAGTAAATGTTGTTTGTTTATAGTAACCAAAATGGAACCAGATTTAAAATGTACAAAATAGAATTTAAAAAGTTAATTTGTTACATGGATGACTTCACAATCTAGAGAGATTTTTGACAGTGTAAGTTTGGCATAAGTTGTTTTCACTAGAAATGGCATAAGCCCAATGATGAAATGTGGTGATAAAAGTTCCAATCTTACAAAAGTACTGTATTAATAAAAAAAAAAGATCCTGCATGAATGCAAAAATGATCTAATAATAAGTCATTACTTTCTTATTCAAGAGTATTGTATTATAATATCTTAAATTTTAATTCCTCTTCATTTTTGTAATTAATGCGCAACATATTTTATTTATATTAAATTATTCTCCTTATCTGGAGAAAATTTAAATAAATAAAAACAAATATTCTTACACAAAATTTCTTTATAACAAATTTTGCATAATTTTCCAAAAATTGTGTTTTCAAGAATTTTCTTGTTTTTAGGCTGAAGAGACAAATGAAAGGATTCCAGAAATAAAAGATTCTAAATCAGAATTACATCGTAAAAAATTAGAAAATAAGTTGAAAGAAATTCAAGCAAAAAAGAAACACATGGATAAGATGTTAGTGGAATTATCTGCACTCGAACAGGCATCTATTAATGTCAGTAAGTTAAATTATTATTAATACTTGTAATATATTTCATAATTTTGTTCTCAATTATATGTAATAATTATATGCTGAAAGATATAATTACTTCTGCCACTATTGCATTTTCTTTTTTCAAAGAATTGATCCAATTCATCATCTAATAAAAATAAAAAATAAAATAAAAAAGAAACTTTTTAATGTCTTCAGGTAATGTAATGTAATGTAGTGATGTCTTGAAGGTCATCTAACTTTTGCTGTGCAAGTGCAATGTTATCATTCAGTTATGAGTTTAAAAGTTTAGTTTATCATTTAAATTTACAAATAACTTTCTACTCCATTTCTAACAATACATTCTGACAGATGTTTTACATTCTTCTATTCATAGGAAAATTTTGTTTAATTTACTTCTAGAATGGCATAAGAGTAAAATTTATTTTAATACTTTTAAAGATTCATAGTTTTCATCAAAGTTAAAATGAATTGAATAATTTTATTATCATCAGTCTATCCATTTAATATATTCTGCTAAAGTAAATTGTTTTCAACAGTTGTGAATTGAAAAGTAGTCTTCACTTAGTGTACAATAGATCCCCCTATAAGATGGTAGATATGTTTCGTTCTTTATGAATCCGATTTTGTAGGAATCACAGCCCGACACGTGTGAAGTTTACGGACTATGGCTGTTTGAAAGGTTTTCTTTTATAAAATTAATCGATTCTAGACTAATCCGACTCAACATTTCCAAAATACATATATTTTTTTTTGAAATAATCCATATAAACTACGCTATAAACAAAAAAATTGTAGGATTACTTACCGAGTCTGCACCATTCGACATCACCGTTGCTCAAGCTTGTTTTCGTCACGGAACAGCTCAGCAAACCGCGGCAGTGATTTCTGATGTTATTTTTCTGCGAAAACTTCGCTGAACTTTGGAGACATCATTAATATAAATAATTTTTATTGCCATTGAATAAGAAATATTTCTTTCACAAGAAATGTATAAAATTACAGTACTGTATTAGACTTACGGTACCTAATTTACATACTGTACAGACGATAGTTTGCCTAAACTCTCCGTAGCGTGGCGCTAGACGGCGGAAAGTATATATATAATTATAATAAAGTTACAATAAATTAAGTTAATATATAATTACATATACAGTACCTAATTTATATATAATTAATATATAATTATATGTACAGTACCTAATTTATATATAATTATATGTACAGACGAAACTAAACTCAATTTACCCGCCTAAACTGTCCGTAATGTGGCGCTGGACGGTGGGAAAATAGTTCGGCTGCCGGATGACGTTTTACGTAATTATAGGAGTTTTTTACCGTTGTGTAATTATAGGAGTTTTTTTACCATTTTTTACTGCCACAATTTTTTCGCTGTCTTATAGGAATCGTAATTATAGGAACCAGTCTTATAGGGGATCTACTGTATAAACAAATGTTAACACCAATATTTAGTAAATAAGATTTGTAATATTTTAGTCTAATAATCTCTCTGTATAGATTCTTTCTAATTTTCAAATGATATGCAAATAGAGTGAATTAAGATACCAATTAAGAGCAATATCTATTATGAAAATTTTTTAAAATTCTCATGTTTATTTTATTAGAAAATAATTAGTAAATAATTACTTTTTATTTAAATGACTTTTATCCTGAGAATGCTGGATATAATAAGTATGCTGAGTCATTGCATAGATTTGCTTTGGCCCAGTAAATATGAAAGGTTGCTGCTGACCATTTTTACAGAATCTGACAAATTCTAGCACACAAACAAGGTATATCAAACATCTTGCATTATAGATTCTTGGTTTGCTGGATTAAAAGATTTTTGTTATAAATTACATTATTTGTTCAATATGTTTATCTTTGTTTTACTTAATAATTTTTTCAAAATAACATAGCTGTAACATACAGAAATATGTACAATTTTATATTATGTATATATATAAAATTATAAAATTAATATATTTTTTAAGTATATGACATAAATATTATGTTTAAATTTTTATATTTCTGTTTTTAAAACTAGAAAACAGTCAATCAAATTCTACACAATTTGTAACAGCAGATAGCACTATACAAGAAGCTCAGCATTTATTAGATACAATAGATGCCAGGGAAAAAGTAAAGTAAGTAACCTTTTTTTCTGTTCTGATGTGTTAATAAAAAGTTTCCAAAGTATAAAATTTTATTTACTTGTAGTCTATAAATTTTAAATAAAAATTCTGCTTTATGTAAATTACTTATATTCCAAGTGATTTCAAAATTTAAATATATTGTAAAGCTGAAGATTTTCCAATAAAGGATTGAAAACACTTCTAGCAAAATACAAGCATACTTTAAAGAACAGTTCACTGTTTACTGGTAGAATATCTCATAGTTTTAATGCCCAGACTTAATAAAATGTGTGTATTTTTCAATACAATGTTTTTGGCCAAAATTTGTATACAGAAATTTATAGTTGCATTTTAAAAACTCAATGCATAATTTTTAACAGAATATTTGTAAGAAATAGTCTTGAGATACATTCCAAATACAATTGGTAGAACATCAGGTTACATATAAATGTTTTAAAACGGGCTCCAGTAATTTAAGCATCTTTCATCCTAACATGATAGTTTTCTATTTTATATAGAGGCATTTTACTGTGGTTTAGTTAAATTTTAGGATATTTGTTGGGAATTTTGGATTGCTGTTGTAAAGCATAATTGTTTCCATTTTAATTAAATAGGATTTAGGCTACCAGTTAGCATTTTCACATAGAACATCTGATTTTCAGAAATAGATTGCTGACATTAAGTCAGGGATGATGTACTTAGAACAATTACTTTAAGTATACTCAATTATTATCTGTATTTTCATATAATGTCTTTCTATAATAGAAATTTTAATAGTTTAGTTAAAACTCCTAATACATAAAAGTTATAATTTCTTTGTGCCCATGCAAATAATTACATGTCACATGTATGTAAAATAAAATATGGATGGAATTGCAAAATTAAGTTTTTATTTGGAAAATTCTAAAAATAATTTGTCCACTTAGATTGGAATCTGTTAAATTGATGGTTTACTGTGTCACCATTTTTTAGTTCAATAAATAAATAAATTTAAAAAAAAGAAGTTCAATCAGTTTTTAGACTCTGTTTTTATTAATTCTGAAATGTTTCCCTGATTGGATTATAAATGATATATTGCTTATCTTAGTGTTTTAAGTAGAAAAAGTAAACAAAAAACTTTCTGCTTCCAATGCACATGTCGACTTGTCTTAACTAATCGTTCAGCATTGTCACAGCATACAAAACACCAACTATAATAAAAAATAATTTGCGTTGGAGTGGGAATTGTTGGTGTTGGCTATGCCCAATGTCTGCATTGTCAATGACAACATTAACATCATAACATTGTGGCTGAAATTAAAGAAACACATCTCTGGTTATTGTGTGTCCTGTGTTTTTCTGCTTTGGCTCAGGTAATTTTGGTGTGAAGATGGAAGTAGTGTGCTTTATATTAAATGATGTAATATAATTGTTATTGAATTTATGGGACTACAACATGTTTTGTATTACATATTAATCAAACTCATTAACTTTGAAATAACTATCCTCATTTGTGGAATCACAAATACACTTCTCGTAAAAAATGTGAACTTTGCATAAATTGATAATGTATTAACAAGGTTTGACTGTGGAATATAATTTCTAGACCTTCATTAAATTATTAAGATTAGTGAAGTTGGTCTATAATAATTATCACTACTGTATATCTGATATGTATAATTATTATAAATTTACTGGGAAAATTATAACATATAATTTCAATAATTATATGGAGTCTCAACTACACACTTCTTATCCAGTTTAAAGTAATTTTATTTAATCTTTGCTAATAATATTTGTATTTGAATTATACAGACAATAAATACAAAAAGAAAATATAATTCGCCCAAGAAATAAATTTTTGTATATTTATATTAGTGAAGTTAATAATGGATATTTGAAATATATCTATTTCATTAATAGGTTAATCATATATATATATATATATATATATACATCCATGTGATTTTATTTTGTCAATAAATGTTCTGTGTGGTCTGCTGTAATGAATTTTTTTTTTATCTTTAACTATAACTTTTTCATAGTTTATTTTTATTATGTCATTTTGTAAAACTGCTTGTAATGGTATATTTATTTCTTTATTTGGCTAAAAATAAAATATAATTTTATTTTGTTTGTTTGTTTTGTTTTGTAATGGTATATAATGTATATTCATAGTATGGTACCTGACTGTGTATTGATTTGTGTTTTATATGCTGGCTTTGATTTATTGTAATGTTTAAGTTATGTTTATGTAGCTAATTGTGTTAAGAGCTTTCATTTTGCTGATGATGTATTATTTCAGGCAAAATATAATTACAGTAGACCCCCTATAACGTTCCTCGTTATATGAATTTCTTTGTAGAATTCTTAAATACATGAGCCAATTGCAGCCCAACATGTGTGAAGTTTACGGACTACAGCTGTTTGAAAGGTTTTCTTCCATAAAATTAATCGATTCTAGACTAATTAGACTCAACATTTCCAAAACACGTATAATTTTTTAAAAAATAATCCGTATTAACTATGTTATAAACAAAAAATTGTAGGATTACTTACCGAGTGTGCACCGTTCGATGTCGCCATTGCTTAAGCTTGTGTTCGTCGCGGAGCAGCGCACCAAACGGCGGCCACGATTTCTGATGTTATTTTTCTGCGAAAAATTCGTTGAACTTTGGAGACATCATTAATATAAATAATTTTAATGGCTTTTGAATAAGAAATGTTTCTTTCACAAGAAATGTATAAAATTACAGTACTGTATTAGACTTACGGTATCTAATTTACATACTGTACAGACGATAATAAACTCAACTTACTCGCCTAAACTCTCCGTAGCATGGCGCTGGATGGCGGAAAGTATATATATAATAATAAAGTTACAATAAATTAAGTTAATATATAATTATATATACAGTACCTAATTTATACATAATTTATATATAATACTGTACAGACAATAGTAAACTCCATTTACCCGCTTAAACTCTCTGTAGCTTGGTGCTGGATGGTGGAAAGTAGTTCGGCTGCTCGTCCGCAATGACAAGTTGGCGATGACGTTTTACTGTGTTTTACGCGTCCCTTTTAGCGTCTTTATATGAATACTGTTGCAATTTTTCGCTGCGTTATAGGAATCTACGTTATAGGAACCCGCATTATAGGGGGTCTACTGTATGTTATGTCAGACCAAAACATGACACTTGCAGATATAGGTTGTCTGTAATTGCTACATCCTTTAAGAATAATAACTTGGGCTTTAATTGATCTTTTAAGGCAATAATAAACCCTAAAATCTATTCAAAGAGGCACTCCTATACCAGCCAACATTTTGATTTTAGCCTTGATCACATGATCTGAACTAACATCAAATAAGATTTTTGAGTCTTATCAAGAAATGTCTTCCAACTCCAAGACTGTTTGATATTATTTGTTTTATATATTTCGTGTACAGGTCATTTTTGTGTAGATTTGATGGTAATAGTATTGTCTGCTAGAGTTACTGCTTTATGTAATTGAGATGTTTCTTGTATTGTAAAAGTACTCTTGCAATGTCTGTATTTGTAGTATAGATTTATTATATCTGTAACACCTCATTTCTTTATGAAGAAGTCTGTCATCCTATGGAGGATTTAGGACTATATTTTGTTAATGTTGTTTTCATTTGGATTATTCTAGTTCTAGCTGATTTGTGTATCTTACAACAAATAAATATAAGTGTTGTGACATGTGTTTTTATTGTGTTAAATGTGTATTTTGCATTGAACTGTGTTATTACTGTTGAGTTTAATCTCTTGCATTAATTTGTTTTATTTTTGTTTTATTTGTGTTCTGTGAACTTGGCCTGCTGAAATCAAATGTTTAAAAAGATAAAAAAAAGTTATTAAATACACAAAGTTAATTAGCTTTAGAAAGAATTATATGATTCTCTTATCATTCTTTTTAATCCTAAAGAACTTGTAGAACTTATCTTTGCCCATTGATTCAATTATGTTTTCATTTCAAGTGCTTAATAATAATATCAATAAAATATATCAATAATAATAATATAATATATATTATTTGATAAATAAAACAGAAATGAAGCAATATGATGATAAATTTTGTCATTTTGTAGCCATTTGTAAAAAATGGCAGATTTTAGGTTCCATCTCAAATATACAATTTTTTTTGTTGTTTCACTTATTTTATAGTTATGTCTTGAATGAACTTGTAATGGATATGATGTAGAAAAAAATATTTTAATGTTTGAGATGGTATCTTGTAAATTATATATCTGTAAGTGTGATGGTTTCGATAGTTGCTCCAGAGATGCAAAATATACAGAAGTGTGGATTATGCAAAGATCTTATTTCTGTTAGAAAATTTGTGAGGTATACATTGTCTTGGTTATTCACATTATTCACACAATTATGATTTTTATATATTCTTTGCTTTTTTAAATTCAAATATAAATTAAGGGATTTTAACATCACTTAAAATATGACTTAATTCATTATGAAATAATAAGTTGAAAAATAAGATGTAAATTATTTTTTATAGAAAATTAGAAGAAATGAAAGAAAGTCTTAGCCAGCTAAGAGCAATGGTAAATAGTATCCAGCCTATGAGTGGAGATGTTTCATCTGTCAATAATGAAGATCAAGTTGAGACAATCAGTAATTCCAGTAAATCAAGGTATGTAGTATGAAAACAGTTTGTTTTTGCTTCCTATTTTATATTAAATTTTACAAGTGAAGCTATCTTGTATTTTAGTAAAAAAATAACAGTAGTAGTTTAATTAATATTCTATTTAATCATCATTAAGTTAAAGTATTAATAACAAGTAACAGAAAATAAACTTCTGAAAAGTGTTTATAATTTTAAATTGTTTTCTGCATAGCCTGTTTTGTTTTTTATTTTATTTTAGTTCTCAAGCAGTAAAATCAAGATCTGACCCAAAATTACACCAGAATTCTCAACAGATTTCTCATGTCAAGAAAGATAATATTAAACAAGATCATTCAAACAAATTTCCTGTTCGCCGTCATTATGAGGCAGAAGGTAGAGCAAATGAAGATGGAGATAATGCAGCATTAGCAGCTTCTGTTCAAGATGGTAGTTCTGGTACTGATGAATCTTGGGAAAATGATCCCCAAGTTCAAGAGAAAGTAAGGTAAAAGAATATTTATTGTGTTACTAAGAAAAATAGATTACTGTATTTACTCATGTATAAGACGAGGTTTTTATTTATTTTTCACTGCTTCAAAAACCTAGGTCATCCTATATGCACGAGCGAAGGATTCTTTTCATTTTTGCAATAATTTTCCTGAACTGTGTATTTGCATTTTTTGCCAGATTATCACCCTCTGGTGTTTAAAATCAAAAGTATTTTATTTGGGTCGTTTTAATTGTTCTTGTGTATTGTCAGGAGTAAAGATGAATAGCAATAGGAAAAGCAAAGCTTTTGAATTGAATTCCAAAATTACACAGGAGCCCAATATAAGTTTTAATTCATTCCCACATGGAAACAGATGATTATTTGGAAATTAGAATTCAGAGAAACTCATAAGTGTAATTGATGAAGAGTGAATTCGACTGTTAAGAATTGGCAAAAAAGGTTCCCAATTTACATGAACAAATTATGTTGTCGATTTTACAAGATTTTTCCTTGAAGTTTAAAAAATCAGTAATTTTTGTGGGACAATGTGTGCATTTACGTCATTTGATATTTTCTTTGTGATTAAACAAAATATAATTAAAATTGTATTAATAAATTTTTAATTTTGTTTATTTTGATCTTTAAAGTCGCACCTTGTCCTATATGCAAGTAAATACGGTATAATCTTTTGATGAAATTTTGAAAATAACAGATAAACTTTTACATTAACAAAATCTATTAAAGATTGAAAAATTTATTATTTATTATTTCATCTTGCATGTTTAATTGGTGTAAATTAGGTGCATGGGTAAATTATAATTTTAGGCTTTTTCTATGGCCTGTACACTATGAAGATCCCTAAATGTATTTACATTGTAAGTAATTTATAGTTAGTTCATGTGTTCAGTGAACAAAAATCTTAAAACTACAAGCAGTAAATTTGAAGATATTTATTGATAGTATTCATATTTTCTTTACAAATTAGTAGAGTTGACAATTTGTATGAAATGTTACCACGTAGTTGAAATTATTCAATTTGCAATATGTAAGATTTTTCTAAATATTACAAAATTAATCAAAAACTTGCAACTGAAAGCTTTCACCAAAATTAAGTACAAACATTTTTCCTTAAAAAATTTTTTATAAAAGTTTAAATGAATAAAGGTTATATAATTTAATGACTTATATAAGTGCTTAGTTCCCAGTCTTATATCAAAACAATATTGCATGGTCTTTACTATAGAAAGGTTGTTCGTACCTAAAGTTTCTGAAATAATTTTCAAACATTGGAAATTAAAAATTTTCTAAAATTTTTATAAGTTGAAGGTTTCAATAGTTTATAGGAAATATATATTTGCTGGCTGCTTTATTAGATAATGACTAATAACATGTTACACTGCTTTTGCTCTGATTGCAATTAATGCTCTAATTGGGCTGCAATTTGAAAAAATTGTAGACCTATAAATTTCCACTGTCATCCGTCTGTCTCTTTCCTTAATCTCGAGAATGGAGTTAGATAGATGAATGCTTAAGGGCAGGAGGCCCTGATTAACTGTATCTGAACTTCCGATGCAAACAAGAAGTCATGTTATTCCAGTTTAAAAATTTTTCCTTATAAGGAGTTAGTTAGATGACAGCATGACATTGTTGGTAACAGGAAAAGTATGATGTACATGGGCAATATACTACTGATTTGAGGTGGAGAGTGTATATTTTAAATTAAATAAATAACTTTAAAAAATATGATTAAAAATTGCAGCCCAGCATTGTGACAATGTCACAGTAAACAATTGCTCATTCTACGTAGCATTTACAGCATTCCATAAGTATTTATTTAAAAGTATTATGAGAAATAGTGACTAATTTCTGCATTCATTTCTGTTTTTGAAGTACAGTAGAGCAGTGGTCCCCAACCTTTTTATCGCCACGGACCAGTCAAAGTTTGATAATTTTACCGCAACCCACTGAGGGGAACGTTGATTGTTTATATTTTAGATTGATTTAATTTAATAATTTTAATTTAATTGTATTTAAACATGCCTTCAAAATAAAATACAATTTCATCAAAAAATGAATATAATGTGATTTAACATTTTAACTCACTAGAACACTAAATCAATGAGAACCCTGAGCTTGTTTCATTGTAACGAGATGGTTCCCTCTGGGGGTAATAGGAGACAATGACACCCGAAGTCTGTTTCTTATGTCCAGTTTGTTCTGTTGTCCATTAAAAGTCACACAAACCCGAGGAAATACACCATAGTAAATAAAATGGAAATAATTTAATGTTCCTTGGGTGGCCCGGTACCGTTTGATCCACGGACCAAACGTTCTGTGGCCCGGGGGTTGGGGACCACTGCAGTAGAGTATCGATTATCCGAATACTGGTCAACCAAAACATTGGTTAACCAAAAGCATTTCAGTTGGAAAATTCAAATTTCCACTAGTGCTGTGGTGCTGCAGCACTCTCACCTCCCTGCCAAAGTAAACTGAAGGCCTAGTTTAATGTACTGCTTTATGTAAGATATGTTATACAAAATATATACAGTACAGTTTTGTGTTTAATATATTTTTTCATAAATGATCAGTTATCCGAACAACCCTGTCCTGAATTGTTTCAGATAATTGATGCTCTACTGTAGTATAGACAGAAAATTATACTGATATACAAGTCTTATTTCGATCTCATTACTGATGAACTGAGTAGGAATCCCAATTGCTGTCTGTCCAGGATATGTATGGTTCCATCCCTCACTACCTGGTAGCCTCCATTGTTAGCAAAAAGTCCTTTCAGTGCCCAAAGGACAGAATTAAAAATAAAAAAAACAGAAACTTAAATGCTTAAAGACTTATGACTTCTAGTTTTTTTTAAAATAATTTTCCTCATTAAAACATTCCTAAAATAATTTTTAGAAACTTATCAATTTAATGTTATCAATATCTACATGAGAATAGGGACAAAAATAGCTAGGAATGTTTAATATTTTCTAAGTGCATAAATTTGTGAAAATTAATAGGGTAATTAAGGTTTAAGATAGAATGATAGAAAAAATTTTCGTTTGATATACACTCTTTTTGATCTTTACAGTAATATTATAATAAATCATACTATATAAAATTTTATATTTAAGATTTTAATTGTGTTTTATGTCAAATACAATTTATTTTTCAAATATGAGTTATAATGAAACAGTTTACAATTAACAAAACTCACTCAGCAAGTAATTAATAGACTACCCAACTACACCTTAAATTGCTGAGACTATTTACAGATGATACAGGCTGAAGGCTCCATAGTAAAATGGGAGGAAGCAGATATTGTTAAGTCCTTGCACTCCTTGACTTTAATGATGAGCACAGAAAAGATTGAAATTTATAAGGGCAAACTACAAGATGCATGCATTAATGCAAGGGATGCAGAAGGGCTACCATCTGCGTGGAAATACTTAAAAATTAAGGCATAAGTTAGGAGTTCTTAAAAAGTTTAAGAACTCCTAACTTATGCCTTAATTTTTTTTGATATTTTATATACAATATTATTACCTGATATATAATATTATATCTGATTATTATTTTATTTTGTATTTGTACCTGTATGTATGTTTGTATGTATGTATATTTTGTTATAATCTTTTGTTATTTTTGTATTTGAANTGTAAAAAAATCTAACAATGTGTTGCTTAATCTTTTCTTCAGTTTAATCTAAATTATTTAATTAAATATTATAATAATTGTTATACGAGATGGCACCTAATGCCTCCCTCTAGTGTCAAATTCATTTGTAATTCATAATTATTATTATTTTCAAATTATAGCCAAATTATTTACGGCAGTTGTGGATGTCTATTTGATATGCATCAGGTTTCGGTTGGTGTTTATATTTGTAAAACACAAGAACAAAGCAATTGTTGTTGATTGCTTTGTTCTTGTGTTTTGTTTGTTAATGATGATTTTGAATTGTGATCTAAGAACAAAGCAATTGATGGTGATTGCTTTGTTCTTGGATTGCATCTTCATGTTGTCAAGTGCAAGATTGTCTCTCCATACCGGCAGGTACAAGGATAACCTCTTTTGTGGCAGCAAGTGTAAAGTTCACCTGTCTACATTCATCAGGTACAAGGATCACCACTTCTATGCCTAACAATGGCAGGAATTGCTTCTTTTTCCAGCTTTACCTTAATTCTCTTGCAATATGACAAAGTTGCACAGTGTCCTAGTTAATAGCACACAATTTCTAATATAATCTTAGGTTTTTTATTTTATAAAATATCATATAACAACAAATAACCTATTTGTCATCTTTATTCTAAGAAATCTGTTGAAGAAAAAATGCAGCAACAGCAGCAAGAATTGGAAAAATTAATGGAAGAGCGGCGCCGATTATTGCATATGCAAACTCAATTAACAAAATTACAACATCAGTTTCCAAATTCATCTTCATTAAGTGATGAAAGAATTAGTTTACAGCAAAAAACTTCAAAAAAAATTTGTGGAAATTCGTTGAATTCAAAATCTCTATCACCTTGCCGACAAGGTAGATCTGATAATTGTACCTTAGGAAGACAGAATTTATCTTATGAACAGCCTAATACAAATATGAAGAGCCGTTCAGATAATAAGAAAACAGTTAGCAAAAAGGAAAATATTAACAGTATGTCAGCTAATTTATCAGGTAGAATAAAAGATGGAAAGGATGATCTTTTAAATAGTGATGTCAATGATAATGTTACAATGGAATCATTAATAGCCCAAACTAGTGAATTAGACAATAGTTTAACATTACAAGAAATTAAGCAAAATGTGTTATTAGAAGATATACTTAGACAGAATCACAAACACCAAGGATATTCTAACAATGAAGATGTTCGTAGTCGAAGTGGATCATCTGCCAATTCAGAATTCCAAGAGGAATCAAACAGTATTCTAGCTCCAGATACAACTGCTGCAGCAACATGGGGTGGATCTAGCACACAAAATGATTTTGAAGATGAACCAGTGGAAAGTTTAGAAGAACAAGATGGTAAATAAGATGTTGAATTTGCTTGATTATAGACTGAAATTGATTTATTCTTTATTTTAGAATTGAATAAAAAAATTATATAAATTTTAAATAATAATTTATA